CATGGTCAACGTTTCCGCACCGTAAGTCAACACTGGCAAAACACACTGATTAAAGGTTTTTCTTTTAAGACATATTGGTATATCAGACGATTTGAAAATATGGTTCAGCTTGCCGAAGGCTGCCCAAGTCAGTCTTATACGACGGAGAAGCTCAACGGTTTGGTTATCTTTTCCTATGAGGATCTCATGACCTAGGTATTTAAGGGCCATTACCTGGTCTATGGATCTTGTTCCTACGCATATATCTTCGCTGACTACAAGATTTGTCATCATCTGGGTTTTAGATATATTTATTTTCCCCCTTCTAGCGAGGAAAGCTAGAGCTGATTTAAAAGTTCTTTGGCCTCATCTATCCTATCAGCTACTAGTACATCATGCAAACTATCAGAAAGAGCTTATTCTCAGAAGTGAAACCTCCATTAGTCCACTTCCGATTGTTTCAGACACTGATGATGATTCAGAAAACGCTGTTTGTGGAGCTTCAGATTCATACGAAGATAAATACTCCGGAGGTATATAAGCGATTTTAAATGCTTATATAAGTGATATATAAGGTTAGAATACTCGAATAAATGAATTTTAATAAAAAAAAGGCAGACATCGAGCACAGCTTATTTATTAAATCTTGCTTAAGTTCTTACGCTCCTAGAGCATCTTTAGGGGCATCTGAAATAAGCCCAGAAACGGTTTTTCAAATGAAGAAAATTAATTTAACTTCGAAAAAACTCGAAGTTAATGGTTGATAAAAAATTTTGAAGTTATACTTCTATACGCGCGCTCGACGTTGGAAATATGTACGGAAGTGAATCTGTGAAACCATTACATATATAAGATAATGAGTAAGAGAGAGACATAAGATATATTTTCTCTCTCTTCCTCTCTCGAGAATAAAAATGTTCTATATATATATATATATATATATATATATATATATATATATATATATATATTTATATATATATATATATATATAATAATATAGTATAATATAATATAATATGTATTAATATTATTATTCATGTGATATGTTTTGTATTATTTATTAAACGTTTATAATTATTTTAGGCTTTTGTATTTCAAAATAATCACTGTTTGACCGAGAACTGTCAATTTTTAGTGTTAGACCGTTAGTGTCATGTCTAATTGGCAAATCTTTTACGTGTTTGGTTCATACGCTGGTCTTTGTGAGTTCGAATCCCAATATGAATTTCCTTTTTTATTTTTGAAATATTTTAAAACCTCACGTTAATATTGTTAAATATATGTAATATACGCAAAAATGCTAAATTTTAAAATAAAATGAAAATTTACAACATAATTCCGAGTTGTTGGTTTTTTTATTTTTATCTTCGTAAAGTAAGTTATGTATATTGGCAGTTTTAAATACTTATGAATATTAAATTTTAATTTATATTGTATTATTATATTGAGTTATGTTACAGTGTATTGTATTGTAATTTTTATATTAATAACAAAATAAACAATGAATTTTACTGCAGGGTATGTGTAAACAATTTTTTTTGCATTTATCTCCTTTTATACATATTATATGAAAATAAAAATATATATTTTATTAAAATATTGATACAATCCTTCATTTACTATACTCCTATTACAGGTCAAATGTTTACATACAGCAAACGATGCACCGTATACCTATATAACTAATTCTTTTTCTCTTTCTGCTCTCTCTTACCTATAGTATTACATATGTAATGATTGTGCAGATTGACTCCCATATAAATTTGTAACGGCGAACGAGTGTATAGAAGTATAACTTCTACCGGCAGTCCCATTGGACTGCCAAACCCGTTTTTTTATGTAATATAACATTTTAGACTTATTCCGTCAAATAAATTTGGGCTATCCAACAATATATTGAGAATGTCATAAACATTAAAAATTATACATTAAAAAACACAACACAAGGACAAACATTTTAAAATTTAAAAAAACACGACGAAACTACATATTGGTTGGCATCAGGAGAGAGAATGGCTCCTGGTTTTAACGGAAAGACACACGGCAAGTGGTAAATTATAATGAATATGCACCTGAAGAATGTCAATTAATTCAAATTTCATAAAATTTTCTTCGCCGTATTGGATTTACCATTTTTAATTTTTCAACTTTGACAGCAATTCGTAATCAGCGAGATCAAAAACTTTACAATACCTGTTTGTGTCCAAATAATCCGAAATATATGAAATTTGGCATAGAATTCGCAATCAGCAAGATTTTTAAAACCTTAGGTCATTATAGTAGTACACATTTACATCGAAATTTATATATATTTTAGACTTTTGGGCATGTTTTCAGCGATTTATCCCAGTTGGCCACGTGGTAGTGACCTCAATAAAAGCCAACATCAATGCTGGTACCATCACAGCCAACATCAATGCTACTGGAACTACAGCTAACATGAATGCTGCTGCTACTAGAGCCAACAGTCTACATCAGTGCTGCTGGTACTACAGAATACATTTACGATGTCTGGCTATATAACGAGACTGCTTATAGTAAATTCGTTTTTTTCATTAGTCAAATCAATGCTGGAAGTCTTCTTTTGTTAGAGTTTTTTAAGAGCTTTTAGGGGCCGTTTTTCACTTCACCTCTTCCATCGTCTCGAACTGGATTCCTTTTAACGCAGGCTTGATCTTCGGAAATACGAAAAAGTCACAGGGTGTTAAATCAGGCAAGTGTCGCGGGTGTTCGAGCACTGGAATGCGTCTAGCGGCTAAATAACTCTTCACAGACAGCGCGTTATGGACAGGGGCGTTGTCCTGGTGCAAGATCCACGGCTTGTTTTTCCATAACTCCGACCGTTTCTTACGAACTCGCTCTCGCAGCGTTGCCAAAACATTTAAATAGTTTGGTTTATAGTTTGACCCGATGAAAACTGTTCAGTCATCACGATGTCATTAATGTCGAAAAAAAAAACGATTAGCATGGATTTAAATTTTGATTTGGACATCCTTACTTTTTTCATTCTTGGTGATGCAGGAGTTTTCCAATGCATGGATTGTCGCTTAGTTTCAACATCGTATTTGACTATCCTGGTTTCATCGCAAGTGATGATGTTTTCAATTAATTCAATCAATTCATGTAACCTCTCAAGAAAATCTAAGCAGATGTGTTGACGGACAGGCTTTTGGTCAGGGGTCAAATTTTTTAGGACCAACTTCGCACAGACTTTCTCATATTCAATTCGTCATGTAAAATTTTTCTGACAGCTTCTTTATCGGCGTTTACAGTCTCAGCAATCATCCAAATGTTCATGCGACGATTTCCGCGCACAATTTCATTTATTTTGGTCACTGTTTGCGGAGTTAAGACAGAGACAGGTCGACCTGGACGTTGGTCATCTTCGGCGCTCTCTCGGCCTTCAGAAAACCGTTTATACCATTCCAAAACACGCGCACGAGATAGAGAATTCTTACCATAGGCCTCTTTCAACAAATAGCACTCAGTCGGAGTTTATTTTAATTTAACGAGAAATTTCATATTAATATTAATAATAATGTTTTTCGTCACACATCGGCGCGAAAAAAAAACACGTTCCTTTCTGACCTCTACAGAAAAAATACTACTACAGCGACAAAAACGTGTTTTTGTACTGGAAGAGTAGACACTTCCAGCTATCCAATGCTGCATTCGCTTCACACTCTTCCCTCTAGGACGCCTTCTGCACGCTCAGTCTCGTTATTTAATAGCCAGACCTCGTATGTCTGGAGCTCTCCTCCAGAAATGACAGTATCTCTGAATTATTCAGAAGTATATTTTTACATTTACTTGATTGTAAAATTTAGGCAACACTTGCTCACTAAATTTGTTTTTTGTATGTTTAATGAATATGAGCATTAAGTATAATCTTTATTTATCCCTGCCAAATTTCTTATTTACATGTTTTTGTTCATTTTTTCAATTAGTTTTGAAAATAGACGATAGTAAAATAAGGTAAATTATACTACGAATGAGAAATGCAACGATAAACACGACGAAGACATATTTTCCTTGCTCCATAACCTAAGAAGTTAATTCAATAAGATGACCGCAGGCCTGTTCCAAACAGAAGTTAAAAGTGTCACGATGATCGACAATATGCTGTGTGGATAGGCACCACAAGAAGAAATAATGCTATTCCAATAAAAAGGAATTTGTTTTTTTTTTGTATAAACTAGTTAAAACAATTTTTAAAAATATTATTTCTTCTTAGGGTGCCTGTCCTTTGCGAAAGTTCGCGATCATTTTGGCTATGATGACTTCATTGGTTGGTATCCGGAATAGCTGTGTTGAGGTCTTTCTATACCATGCTCTCAGGTTAGCAAGCCAGGATATTCTTCTTCGTCCTTTCCTTCAATTTTATCTTGCAAAATGCATTGGAGTAGCTCGTATCTGCCTTGATTTCTCATTATCCGACACAAGTACTGCAGCTTACGGCTCTTCACGATGTTGACCAAATCCGCGGATTAACCTCCGTAGTACTTCTTCCTTGGTTACTTTTTCTGTCCATGGTATCTTCAGTATCCTTCTGTATAACCATAGCTCAAAAGCTTGAAGTTTTGATAGTCCACGCCTTCAATGTCCACGTTTCTACTCCGTACAAAAGCACTGAGTACACGTAACATTTAAGGAGCCTTATTTTTGTTTCTAGGGTGAGGTCATGGCTCTTGAACACAGAGATCATAGTCAAGAATGCACTTTTTGCCTTTCCGATGCGATATTTAATCTCTTGGGTATTGTCCCACGACTCATTGATTATAGTTCCCAAGTAGTTGTACTGTGAGACACGTTCAATTCCCATTTGGTTCACATACAGATTTGGTCCAGTTATGTTTTCCTTGCTGATAATCATTAGCTTGGTTTTGCTGATGTTTATATCCAGTCCCGTACTGCGTACGGCAGATGATATAAAAATATTTAATAATCTAAAATTCAACGTATTTTTAGTAGAATTATCCAGCTTTTATCCCAAAATTAAAACATTTTTAACATGTCTTAGTTCTTCAATCAAAGATCTATTGAAAAAGCAATAAAACAATAGTAAATCCAGTAAAAGTGTAGTGGTTGGCTTATAAATATAGTATTTTCGATATAAAAATTAAATAAATATGATTTAAAATATAGATATTCTAAAATAGATATGAAAACACATGGAAAAAACTAATAAACATATTTAACAACCTATTGTTATTGCAGATCCACTAATTCAAATCGTAACAAAAGTGGTAATGTGGTGGATCCGGTGGTATTGGTGGAGGATCCTGTGGTATAGCGACACCTTCTGCATCGAGCAGCCTTAGTTTGATTTCCATGCTAAGCAAAGTATCAAGATCTTTTTCCGTTTCTTTACTTTGCATTCTTTGGCCTATCAAAGAATTTATACCGTCTGTCCAGTAGGCTAATGCTTGTTCATCGGGAGCTACGCAATCTAGAGATTGCAAGTCCACGCCTAAAAAGAAAATTTGATTTACGACAGAAGGTAACTTTTCAATGTACAAAAATTCACCAAAATTCATCCTAAATAGGATAGAAGTTTCGTTCTACATACTAGAAAATATGTTTAAAAAGGATAGAAAAAAATATTCGTCAACGCCCCTAGAATGTTGAAAAACATAGACTATTAAACAAACAATATGTTAACAATAATTCGAAACTAACCTGGGGCCTAAAAACGCCCTACGCAGCTAGTAATATTGTGGAGTATTTTTTGCGGCTTATGACAGTTTACTTATAAATTTTGGAACCGCTGAATCTGCTTTCAGACAAAATTTCAAAAAGTTATGGCAAAATAATATTAAATCTATTAAAATTTATACGTTAGCTGCTCCGTTTAGTTCAATTACGCTTAAGAAAATAATGATCACGAAATATAGAGAAATCGAAAAAATCATAATTAAAAGGCCATGAAATCATCTCTTATTACTACGGCTTGGTATAGTCAGCATGCTGAATGACGTGACACTGATTAAATTACAAAACAGAAATTAAAAAATTATGGTTTAACAACACAAAACCAGAGAAACTGTTTAATATCTTAAGAATTTTTTGATGAGAGAATAAGAATAATAATCATTCCATGGCCTATTTTTGTAAGTATTTGTACTCCATTTAAAAACAATAATTACACACAATAAGTAAGCTAATTAAATGATAAGGTGGATAAGAGTTTTTTCTCTGAGCGATTGAAGCGGAAGGAACTCTTTACGCTATCTTCGACAAACGACTGAATACCTGGGGAGAGCGGAACAAAAGTAAAAATGTCATCCAACAAACTGACGGATGAGGGCAAAAGAATGCGAAGAGGAGATGAAGAGGGTGAGAAGGAGGACTTTAAGAGAAGCAGAAATGTAGATAGAACGCCAATAAAGGGAAGTGGAGTCGAAATGAAAGACGAGATGATGGAGATACTAAAACAGTTGGCCTTAGACGTGAAGCATATTAAAAGAAATCAAAGAGTTTATGCAGAAGAGTTAAAAGAATTTAGAGCAGAAAATTAGAAGCTAAAGAACGAAAAGGAAGCTATTAGAAAAAAAAGTGAACAAAGAAGGAAGTTCGAGAATTAAGTACCAAACTTGGGTACCTAGAGAAAAAGAAGAAAAATAATAAAAAATGCATGGATTAAATCAGCTCTTAAGATAGAAGAGAGAACATGTCTGCTGCAGCTAGAAAACCAAGAAGAAAAGGAGAAGCTAATGAGAAATAAAAGAAAATGAAAAGACTTTAAAGAAGAAAAAATTTACATCAACGATGATTTTACAATAACTGGGAAAATAATGCAAGAGGAAATAAAGAAAAAAGCACAAGAGGCCCGAAAAGAAGGGAGTTTCGGAAGGTTACAATAGATGGCAGAGTATGGAGATGGAACCGAACAAAAGGCTTGCTAGACCCACCATCAAACTAGAGCCAATCAACAGGGATGGATCAAAGGATAATAGAACTATGGCAATGAACGAGGACATGGAGAGATTATCAATAGAGAAAACAAAGAAAATAAGAAAAAATAAATGTCTTAAAGTACAATCGGATAGGGTCCTAGAACTTGAGAAGAACTTATGAAGCAGGCGCCCTAAAACATATAATGTCAGTGATGAAACAATACAAAGTGGATATCGTGGTAATGCAAGAAACGAAACAAGGAACACAGGGAACTAGTGTAACAATAACAGACAACTACAGCTTTTTCAGTAGCGGTGGGGAAGACCGAATGTTGGGAACGGCTTTTATAATTAAAGCGTTACAGAGTGCGATAGTGGAGTTCGAGCTCCACTATCTCTCCATGTCAGTGATGAAACAATACAAAGTGGATATCGTGGTAATGCAAGAAACGAAACAAGGAACACAGGGAACTAGTGTAACAATAACAGACAACTACAGCTTTTTCAGTAGCGGTGGGGAAGACCGAATGTTGGGAACGGGTTTTATAATTAAAGCGTTACAGAGTGCGATAATGGAGTTCGAGCTAACATATGAACGGATTTGTAGGTTAAAACTAAAAGAGGTAAAACTAGAAAATTAAGTTTAATAAATGTGCATGTTCCTTCGCAGAATAAACACCAAAATGTAAAAAAAGGAATTCTATAGTAGGATTGAACTTATATATAATCAAATTCCAAAATATGATATTAAAATTGTAATAGGTACCAAAGTGGGGAATGAAAAGATGTACCGAGAAACTACGGGAGGTAAAAGCAAACATGACGAAATCAACGAGAATGGGTAGCAAGTTGTTGGTAGGCTTTGCGCAAGAAAACAACTTATGGTAAATATTATCTTGGGTAGTAAATAATATTGTTGTAACTAGTTGCCCATTTATTAATCACTGCTTTGTACAATATTTCACTATTATAAACTTAAATATATCAGTACTTAATTGACGCTGGCCATAGTGTCGGTATAATAATTAAGATCCCCGAGAATGATTGGAGTTGCTTTTAATAGCCTCGGCCTTGCTGACTCAGCGCTCTTGTTACTATTCGTGTCAAGTGTATTCCCTGACCTACACCACAAGTAAGTCGTGCAATTTTACTAGAGTGCTGACTGGCTGTTTTAATTAGAGTATGTTATATATGAATGACCTCGATTTAAATTACCGAATGTTTACATAAACAAATGTTACACGAGTATGAATTATAATATTATTTTATCTGTAATTCTGATATTTAAGGGTTGATATTACACCATCCCCTTTTGGGAAAAAAATTTCTCTTTTACAACTGTCTTATTCCTCTCTCTCCTTCCCTTCGGAAGAAGAGAAATTTTTCAACCTCAAGTAAGTACTGTTTACCTATGCTACTGTGTACATATATACATTATCCTAACTCTAAAACATATGTGGTAAAATAGTTTATTCATTTGTCCTTTCACTTTTCCCGCGATATCATTAATATTGTCTCATAAAATCTCCGCGTTCACTTGTGTCTACTGATTGTAAGCGTATAATCTATTTTTATGCACCTCCCTAATCTTTCCGTTATCTAGCCTAATTTTACAGTTAACATTATTTAATTCTGTTATGACAAAAGGACCTGCATAAAGACTATCAAACTTATTATTTTCTTCTCTTTTGAGCAGGACTAGATCTCCTATTTTAAAATGTTGAGGTGCTGCAGTTAGCTTGCTTGCGTCTTGTCTTTTCTTTTTGTGTTTTAGTAAGAACGTTTTAGCTCTGTCGTGTGCGATTTGTAGTTTATATCGGACCTCATTGTAATAGGCATCTATGTTATAGCATGGTTGAATTTCCTGTGTGAGATCTTCTGGTAAATTTGCCTTTCGCCCATACAACAATTCAAAAGGTGTGTAACCGTGATATGCATTAGGGGTAGTATTGTAACAGTATGTGAACATTCTGCAACACATATCCCAATTTTCTTTGTTGTCGTCTATGAATGATCTTACGTATTCATTTAGTGTCCTATGTAGCTTTTCACAACTCCCTATTGACTGAGGGTGGTATGCTGTTGAAAAATTGTGTGTGATCTTTAGCATTTTAGTTAATTCATTCATTACTTCATTTTTGTATTCCGTGCCTTGATCCGTTCTAATCTGTTTCATGAGTCCGTATGTAGGTATGAAATTATCAAAAATTCCACGAGCTATCGTTTCAGCTTCTTTATTAGCTACTGGGATACTTACTGCGTATTTCGTCAGTTCGCAAATCATCGTGATACAGTATCGATTGCCTTCACTACTTTTAGGGAATGGACCTATCGTGTCTATATACACTATGTCCCATGGTTTTGACGAAGTGTCCGATATCACAAATTCTTCGACATGTGATCTTTTTGGTTTATTAATTTGGCATTTATGGCACTGTTTAATATATTTACGTACGTCCTTTTCCATGTTCTTCCATCTAAATCTTGCTTTTAGTTTCTTTACAAGTCTATTATTTCCCACATGACCTCCAAACATCGGGTGATTATGGTATTCTTCTATTATTCTTAGTTTTTCTTGTTCGTCCTCTATGACTTCTGGTACTTCACATATGTATATTTCTACATTTTTCAATATCTTATTTCCTTCGTTTATGAATTCTTCAATTGTGCACGAATTAAAAATAATATCATTTAAATATATTTTTACTTTACTTATTGCATTCTCTACCGCTAGCTGATCAAGCTGTACCAACAATTGACCTAAATCAAAGTGATTAAATCCTGTGGTCATGCTCTTGCTGCATTTGATTTTGTTTTTGACCCGAATGCTCAGTCTTGGTGAGACTCGGTTTGCTCCAAAAGACAAAATTGGTAGTCTATGCGCCTCCATGTTGTTTAGTACCTTTCTTACTGTTTGCTTGTGGGTTTTATGTTGTGATATAATTTCCTCTTCTATTTCCCTGTGCTTCGCACTTTCGGCTTTCTTCTTTGATTGAGCTCTGGTTATAGCTAAAATATGTTTGTTGTTTTTCCCTGTTATATATTCTATCTCGAAATCGTATTCCTCTAAATCTAATCTGATTCTTGTGAGTTTTGAGGTAGGATCTCTCATTGAAAATAGGTGTGTTAGTGGTTTATGATCCGTTTTTATCAAAAATGTTGGTGCTCCGTATAAATAACATTTGAAATGGTTGATTCCCCAATGGATTGCAAGTAATTCTTTAATTATTATAGGTTTGTTAAGCTCTCCTTTGTTGAAGCTGCGCGATGCGTAAGCTATTGGTAAATCTGTTCCCTCGTAGTTCTGACTTAGAATTGCTGAGCAACTTGCATTAGATGCGTCTGTTGTTAGTATGAATTGTTTGTTGAAGTCTGGGTATTTTAAAATAGGTGGTTTTATCAAAGATGATTTGAGTTTCTTAAATGATTCTTCACAATCTTGCGACCAAAAAAATTCTACTCCTTTTCTCGACAATCTGTTTATAGGTATGCATATCTCTGCAAAATTCGGAATAAAACGTCTATAGTAATTACAAAATGCTATGAATCTTTTGGCTTCTTCCGCATTCTTCGGTGTCGGATACTTCTCTATTGTCGAATATTTCGCTTTATCCGGCGATACTCCTTCCTGCGACAGATCATGTCCCAAATATGTAACTTCTTTTCTAAAAAATTGGCATTTTGCTGGGTTTAGCTTCAAATTAAATTTCCGACATATCTCAAATGTCTTTTTTAAGTTGTCTAAATGATGCTTTTCTGTTATTCCTATTACTACTATGTCGTCCATATACAGAAATGCTTTCTCCGGTGTTAAACCTGTAAATGCTATTGACATCATTCTCGAAAAGTTATTTGGGCTTATATTTAGTCCAAAAGGTAATCTGGTAAATTGAAATGCTCCTTTTTCCGTGCTAAAAGATGTGTATTTCCTTGATGACTGTTCTAGTGGTATCTGATGAAATCCTGACATTAAGTCTATTACTGAGAACCATTTTGCTCTACCTAGTTGGTCTAATATTGAGTCTATTCTTGGTAACGGAAATTTATCTGTGACTAGTTTCTTGTTTAGCTGTCTGAAATCTATACATAGTCTCCATGCTTTGTTTCCATCTATAGCTTTTTTCGGTACTAGTACGACTGGACTGTTGTATTCTGATGTCGATGGCTCGACAATTCCTTGGTCTATTAATTGTTGTACTTGTCTATTCAATTCTTCTGTCTGCGAATGTGGTGTCCTATAATTCTTTATGTAAACTGGTGTGTGTTCTTTTACTCTCAATTTTTGTTCATAAAAGTTGTTGCATGTTAGCATATCATGTCTTAATGCAAATATATCTGCAAAATCTTCGCATAACGATACTAATTTATCTCGGGTGTATTCCGGTATATCTAGCTTTAATGTTTCCCGTAGTTCTTTCTTCCTGTCCTTGCTGTCGTTGATTAATCTGTATACTTTAAACAATTTCATGTCTGATGTTTTGATTGTACCCGTCTCTATCGTAGCAGTTTCGTAAGTCGTATTTAAAATTTTGATATATGGGTTATTCCTTGATTATTATCGCTCTCGCTATGAATATTCCTGGTAGTATCTCCTGTTGTTCCACTAGTCTATCTGCCTTTAA